AGCTTTCGATTCCCATCAAGTTTGAGGCTCAAACAACTCATAGCAAGCTGGCAAAAACGTATAAAATAGATTGGCACATGATTGGGTCAAATATAGCAAGTTTTCATGAAAATTAAATCTAATCTCTCCATCATAATGTGCAAAGATATGAATCCCAATTGTTGACCTAAACCTTTTGTCTATATAAACCTAATAATCTCAGAAGCAGGACACGAAAAATTGCCTCAAACACATGCTCATCTAGCCTTACCAAATTACCAAAAAATTCTAAAGTCTTTCAAGAACCATAAGATTTTCAAACCCTTATTTGCATTGCCTTTCACTACGAGAAAAAAATCCCAATCAACTTCAGTCTCTCCCAGGGTAAGATTGGATCACTTACAGTGATCCAAATAGCCAGAAAATACGCATGCAAGCATCCCAATGACATTCATGTTTGAGATCCTGTATTTTTATTTTTTGTTGCATTCTAACGTTTGATGATGATTGTAATATGTTTCTGAGATGCATTAGTACAGGTTTGGATCATTGAACAAGTCCCATACACCCTGGATTGTGCTCTTCCATTATCAAACCGATCAGCCTTGTTTTGTTGATAGCGCATGATACATTGATTTAGAGCCAAAGATAAGGCCTCTATTGGATTCCTAGAGTCTAATTTAGGGGGGGTATGGACCCTTTAACTATCTAATATGGTTTGTTTTTGCAGGTTTTGAAGATGACTCTACCGGAGAAGACGAACGGAGTTAGGGCTCTGGGGCTTCTCTGATTCTATGATTTTGTCTTGAAATGTTTTTATTAGTACCTCTTGGACCAACAAATAGACATTCCAATTCAGTTGGTAAAAGTAGCGCGTGATAAGGATTTATTGTGTGCAAGGGCAGGGGTTCGATCTCTGCCTCTTGCACATTTATTTTTCCAAATTGTTCTTGCAGATCCAGTGTTCCATGGTCGAGCGTGTGCACCATAGGCCATCAGATCCACACCATTAAGTCTCAGATCCACACCATCAAGTCTCAGACCCAGTGCTTTCAACATGCAGTCTTACCATGGACCCTTCAGGCGCCTCTTCGCCAGATCCCAACGTGGCTTGGGCTTGCTGAATATTTGGGCCTTACAAATTCCAGATCTCACACCCTCCCTCATTGCTGCTTGCATCACGCCCGGTTACAATTTTCTTTTATTTATTTTAATTTGATTTTTTCTTTTAATTCTTTTTTTATAACCATTTAAAAATAATTGAAATCACAAAATTAGGTTTTAGTTTTTTTTAGTAGAATTATTTTTGTTAATTAATGAATAATTATTTAACCATTTTTTTTAATTTAAAATTAAGTAGATTTAGGTTAATTCACTTTCTTTGCATAACAAAAGTTCCAAAAAATTAGATTTGTTTTTTTTTCTTTTCTTTTATTTCAATTAACTAGTCTAATTTTAACATTTTTCAAATAAGCAAAAATAAAAAAGAGTTTTTTTCTTTTAACTTAGAGTTTTCTAGGATTTAGACGTTATTTTCAATTCTCGCGCGTTATTTCCTTTCACACTGTTCACATATTATTGTACCTGCTTCCTGGTTGTAATAGTTTAAAATAGGACTTTTACATTCACAGCTTTATTTCCCCCCCCCCCCCCCCCAAGTTTTTGAATATGTAATTAATCCCCCTCCCCGAAGCTTTGTAATAGTTTAGGATTTACATTTTCGCACTTTTAATTTCTACAAACTATGAACTGTTTAGATGCATGCTAATTAGGATTATATGGCAAGAATAAAACCAAACGCTAGCAAACCTAAATGCAAAAAGATAAATAACTGAAAACAACACAATTGCAATGCGCACCTCTAGGATACCCCACTTCGGTTGCCTTCAGAAAAACAGTCACAACTCTCGAAACGTGAGAGCTTTTAGTGGCTACGCTCCGGTTTAAAGATCATAAGTCCCTCGATGACCCTCTCGACGTTGCCTCGATAAAAATGATCTTAAAACCATATGGTAGTTATTAAGGTTTCTTGCCCAGTTGCCTTCGTGACTGTATAAACGTCCCTTCGAATGTCCCTCAAGCATCCAACGACTAAGGCTACCTACTCATTAATAGTAGGATAGCACTGTCTAAAGGAAAGGAGGAAAAGAACAATTATTTCGAGTAAAGTAGATAGTTGTTAGATTCTTGCTCAAGTAATTTTTTATACTTACACAAAACAACTTTCAAAAACATTTTCAAAACGCTTTATCAACACTCTTGAGGATTGATACAAGATTTATCATAAAGCAAGCTGCCTTACTATTGACATTTCAAAAATACTTTTTCAAAAACACACAAAGCACAAGGTATTTCAAAATGAGCTAAACATCTAAGAGTCCGTAGGAAACTACGGATGGAAAGGGTGTTAACACCTTCCCTTTCCATAATCTACCCCCTTACTCAAAACTCTCGAAAGGTCTTTTTTTATTCTTTTCACCCTTTCCTTTATTAGATAAAAGAAAAGTCGGTGGCGACTCTTGCTTACCGCAACATTTGGAAACACAAACGCAAAATCAGTATAACAGTCGATTCTGCCACCATATCACAAAGTGGATGTGAAACTTTAAAGATCGAGAGAATTTGTTATAAAAATGTTACAACATTCTCAGCTATTCGTTTATAACAATATATAATGTTAAATTTATGTTCCACTATCTATGTAATTTCGACTATTTATATTAAATTGTTTTGATATTAAGGTTTTTTATTATATTTGATAATCAGTGTTTACTTCAGATATGTGTGTCTGAAAACTTCCATTTAGTGGCTTCGAATATATGCATCTTCGAACATATTTGATAAAAAAATTAAAATATAGTGAATTCGAATATAATTATCCAAAGTACAGAGTATTACAAAAATTTTGCCAAAAACTCATAAAAGTGTATTAAAAAACTCCTTTAAAAAAAACAAATTGTAAATTACTGTAGCTCATAACATCCAAAGCCCAAACTTTTTTTTAATTGAGGCAAAATTTAATTTAAACCTTTTTTGGTGCATCGGGAAATACATTTCTAAAATCTGAGAAATATTTTTATCAACAGCCGAAACCGATATTATTACGCTATTGTCAATAGGATACAAACTCTGACACTCACAATTGTGTGAGTGAATTTTTAGTAATTAACTTATTACCATTTCATCTACATTCCCAAAAAAAATTGAAGAAATATGCGCTCATATTTTTTTTTTTCAGTTTTACAAAACTACTCTGTTTTGATCATACATATCCATACTAAGCTTGAGGTTTAACTTTGGCATAGTCGTATTATACAAGAAAAAAGTTCAGTACAATCCACAAAAGCCAAAACGAATTAGCAGTGCATATGTAACAAGGTGACAAAATAATAATAATAAATTGCTCATATGGAAGAAATTTTGGGCAATGGATCCCGATCAAGTATTAACATTCTCACACCATCTATTGCAATAACATAAACATAAACAGCAAATGAGGCCTTCTCAAGAGTCTGTGACTGATAATGCAGTGACCGCCAAGCATAACAAGGCATTTTACAACACATGTGTTCATCATTAATAATGGTAAATTGTAACCATTCAGCTTTTATGCAATGCCTCTCACATATTGGTCCAACGTTGTATTGAACAGCTCAGACCTATGAAAATCCATGAAATCATTGAAAACCCTTTATTTCTTTCCAGATATACAACTCACAAAACAAAGACAAAAATATAATCCATAAATCCATTACATGACAGCAGTAAATATTATGTTACCTGATAGGAGATCCGGGTGTATAGAGTGGATTCTTGACAACATATTCAACATACAAATTGTAAATATACTTTAAGGAATCCCGGAGATCACCAGTTCTAGGATGAGTTACCAAGATAATCTGCATGAAGCATGGAAGTGTTACAATACAATTAGTATGACAAGGAACAATATATGAATATTGCGTCTTTGATTATTTTTCTGAAAGCACAAAATAACAATTCTTGTGACTTTTCGCTGTAATATAACTGTTGAGTTTTAAAATATTTCATAGTTTTAATAGTAGTTTGTCTTAACACAACTTTTTATATAAAATTTCAGTATGAATGCTGACAGCTGAGTGCTGACAGACCAATGCCAGACAAAGATCATAGCATCATAAAAACATGAATGTAAATCAGAAGCTCACAACTACATGCTGAAGAATTGAGAGAACAAGAGAATATTATTCAGTCATCAGCCTACTTTCCTTGCTCCCACCCTTAGGATAGGCTTATTCAAAGGGGTAAATCAAAATTCGCCTATATTGCAAGAGGGGTAAAGTGGTATTAACCCTTTCTTTTATGTTTATCCACAGTTCTAGAATAAATAGCCATGTTCATCATTGGCTTATTTTGGTTGGGACCATATTAGTCCCCTCAACACAAGAATGAAAAATTAAAATAAAAAGTTTGTGGTTTTCAAAAAATAAACCTGTTAACCACATTAACACTTTGGATATAGCCACCCATGTTAAAACTGCATACGTGGAACATAATCAATCCTATGATGTGCATGTTAAATGCATATTGCAATTGCATACACAACTAAAATATGAATTCGAGGACCAAATGTTACTCATTTTTGTTTTTGCGTTAAAAAATAAAAGCCATGTATCAATTATATCTTGCTTTCCCAACAGTCCTTGCCAAGTTGCCACCCAACCCCCCAGCTGGTGAAACAACTCAACTGAACATCAAGTCCTAATGATCTAAACTCCACCAGCAACCATACAACAATCAAAGCCAACAATCTGATTGGTTTCTATATCTAGTTAGTTGTGAAAAGAAGTCGGATAAGATCTTGTGAATTATGATCTACTTATGAGGACCAAAAGCCACTTTAGGGATCGACAATCGAAGAATTCTAGGAATCATGTACCTCATGCCGTGGTCTTGGTTGTTACTTAGTGGGTATATTTGTAAAAAGCTCAAAGCTTAGTAAGCTTTAGCTTGAGGAGGGTGTTAGTATATCTTAAAACATCTCATAAACAGGTTCCGCTAGAGGAGATGGTACTTGAACCTAGCAACTGCTGTAAAATGGTCTCCTCCATCACATAGATGATTGAGGAAACTGAATCGTGTGGGAACAAACATGGCAATTTCCTGGGGAGCTTCTCACCTTCTAGACCCATGGCAAGAAGGATACCAAAGTTTAAATTTCCTGTGTCTAGATTAAACCAGAATTTCAAGCCTAAACAAAGAAGAACAGAGAGGGTAAATAATCTAAAAATAGCTAGGAAAGAGCCATTGAAAATTTTCCAACCGATACTGGCATACTGCAATTTATCCTTCAAGAGCTTATAGAGAGGAGGGGGAATAAGGGGTCGTGTTTTAAATGTGGGTGGGACTAGAACATCTATTGGTATCCTGATCGATTAATTAAAGTGATCGATTGGTGTCGGGGAGGAGAATGAAGCGTCCATAGGTTTTCTATTGACAGTTGAAGACAGAGTAGGCCAAGAAAATTAGAAGATACCGTGCAACATGATGAATATCCAGGGGATCCTATTAATGGATATGGAATTTGGGAGGGAAATGAAGGTATAGGGATGCTTAGGAGGAGGATACCCAATTCTCTTTCTCGTTGATAGTAGAGTTAGTAAAAACTTCATTGCTGCCAAACTATTGGCCTCTTCAGGATTAACCATCATTAAAACTCAGAAGTTTGGAATTATCCTAAAGGGTAGCAGTAATTATTTTTCCAGTGTAGATGTAATAACTTGGAGACTTAAGCTGGTAAAACAAGTTTGCTGATAGATTCTTGTATTCTGGATAAGACAACTTATAGTGTCGGAGAGACCAGACATTACCACACGAACGAACAAATCGTGGATTGAATAAAAATGATCAACCATAAACTACCCTCACATGAAAAGGACTTTGGTCTACCAAAAAAAGAAAAGATAAGGACATTGGGTTCTCCACTTCCTTTAGAATCACAAATACCCTACTGAAGTTTCCAAAATCACAAAATAAACATATTTTTAATTCCTCATTCCACGGCACCAAACCAAAATTCAATGAGGAGTTTCTAAAATTGTTTATTATTCTGTGACCAACATGCAGCTTTACTTTACAAGCCACAATAAAGTGGATAAAGCCAAACACTCGTAACTCAAATATTAAAACATATTTAAACTTTCGCACTTTATCTTTTTCTTGTTTTCTGTTAAGTTTTTTATTCACAGATAAGGCAGTGAGATTAACAAGTCTAACATATTTCAGAAAGAAAATGTGATTAGCATATATTAGAGACATGCAAAGAATAAATTCCAGATAGCTACATTAACCAATGAATACATGTGCAAAATTCAAGGCAAAGCATTTCACCACAAAATTCCAGAATAGGCATCAGGAAGCGACTGCATCACAAGAATCTAATAAGGGTATATAAGGAAACACATATGTAGCTGCATCTTACCTTTATTCCAGAAGGAGTTTCCATGAAACTAAGTTTGTATGTATTAGTACGAAAACTGTGAAACGAACAACCTTGGCCGGGTAACTGAGGCACACCAAGGTTCCCTTTCTCGGCACTGCACCATAAGTCGGGGGAAAAAGGAATTATGGTATTGTAATAATAAATGTTGCATTGGTATTGTAAAAGGACAATTATTTTGAAACAGAGAAAAAAAATGTAAATGAGACACTTTTATGAGACGGAGGGAGTAGCATACACACCTAGTGGGATCCATCTTGGCAGTTAATGACTTGAGTGAGAAGAGCAGACCAAACATCAACTTATGATCTTGTTGAGCATTCAACGTATGCAGGGGGCGATTCCATTCTCTATAAAGCAAGCATATACCATTTCTGTTGAAAACATACAGCATATGGCCATTGTTTCCTGAAGCAGTCGGCGGCGGCGGCGACGGACTAATCTCAGAACCACCAAAGAATTGCATTCTTGAATAACACTCACTAACAGTAAACCCTAAACCAAAAATCAAAGGCACGCGTTAATCACATTAAGCACATAAATTCTTCAAATTCGTTAGGTTTACTAAGGATCGGAAAAAATCTATGTTGTAAATCGCGGTTGCAAAGTGGAGATCTGCTTGCCGCGAATCGTATTGGAATTGCATCTGAAAATAAATACCTGTAGGAGTTTATCACTGCTTGTGGCGGCCGCCGACGAACACCGGTTGCGTTTTCCGGGGAAAGGAGTTGAGATCGGGGCGATTCCAACTTCTTGTTTCTGATACACTGATACTGCTACGGAGGGGAAATTGCTGCATTTTATTTTATTTTTTTTATTAAGAAGATGAGTTTACTTTTTTATGTTTTTATTTTAATTGTTAAAATGTGAAAATACCTTTTGTCATGTTAAAATAGAATAAGCAATAAAAAAGAGTTTAATTACACCATAGATCTTTTAAATTAGGCAAAATACTCATTTTGGTCCCTTAACTATACTCTTGGGTTCACATTGGTCCCTTAACTTTTCTTCGTATCATTTTGGTCCCTTAACTTTCAAAATATTTCATTTTAGTCCTTTTTGTCTAATTAGCTACGAATTTAGCGGCTGATTTCAAAGTTTTTCCGTCTAATTAGCTACGAATTTAGACAAAAAGGACTAAAATGAAACTTTTTAAAAGTTAAGGGACCAATATGAACCCAAGGGTATAGTTAAGGGACCAAAATGAGTATTTTGCCTTTAAATTATTTTATAGTAAGTGGACTAACGTAGAAAAGGTCTAAGGGGTAACAAAGTAAAAAAAGAAAATAAGAGGAATATAGATCATTATGTACGATCGTGGAAATTGGGAGAATGTGAAAGAAATGAGAGCTAAGGCATAAAGAACTAAGGGAGGATTCTGTAGAACGCGAAGGAAGAGATTAATCGCTAGGAAATTCGAGGTAAGGGGTGTAATCCTAATTTATTATGATTGATAGGAGGTTACAGTATATGTAGGTTTTGTTTGTGTGATTGAATTGATGAAATACATGATGAAATTGACGATGATGAGGTTTGTGTGCAATGATTTCTATCTATAATGATGTAATGATGTATTTTGATGTTAACATGTGATGTATGGCGATTAAAATACATTTTAGACTGAGTATGATGCCTAGAATCAGAATTGGTATGATCTGGACTGACACGAAGTCGCAACTGAAAAGTTGATGTTTCGCTAGCATCGTCTGGAGAGCCAAAGGCGAGCCTGGAGCGAGCGAGTTGCCCCAGTGTTGCGGGGAGAGCCAGTTGGCTATCAGGATGATAGGAAGCTGAGCTACTAGAAAATGTATGGGAGGGGATCGTTGCCCCAGCATCGTCGTACGAGCGAGGCAGCGACAGGCCCAATTGCGCCATTCGTCGGGCGAGCATCAGGTGAGGAGGTGGCGAGCATAGCGCTCACAAGGTCTCTGGGTGAGTCTTAAGCAAGCAGACCTGGCAGGATTTTCAAGGTGTCGTAACTTGAGTTTCAAGACTCTGTTTTGCGTGTCGTTCAAAGCATTGGAAAGCTAACGCACAAAACTATATTATAACATAATTATATAAGTTGTTTGATGCATGATTTCAATACCTATATGTTTATGAGATTGAACTATTATATGTTTGATACGTTAATATGTTCTATTTTAATGATGAGTTTGATGACGCTGTAAAGTTGTTATGATGTTGTTGTTGTGATGTAATTGATGTTATCCATGATGGTGTTTTAATGATGTGCATGTTTAATATGTATGCATGCTATGTGATGATGAATATGTGAATGATGATACAATTGACTAGTCGTGGTCAAACTTTATATGATGTTATTGTGCATCATACATTCATAACATTTTTGGACAAAGGTCTACTTGTGATGAACCTCAATCCCATTGTGCAGATTGAGTACCTTTATGATGTGCTCCAGTTCCAAGAGGGAATCGATCCTATGGTGGGGATCGTGGAGGGTGATAAACCATGTATTCATAAAATATTAGTACCACATGCATTGAGTCGATATTTGTTGCATTAACATCCTGTGTAACATTTCATGAATTTTATTGATGAGTTGTGATGTGATGATGATTGTGAACTATGTGATTATATGATGATTTTTTATGATGAAAGATGTTTAAGTGCTATTATGATGTATCGGTGAGTATGAAGTGTTGGTGAAGGCTATATGTTGTTATATGATGATGTTGTTTATAACTACTAATATTTTTCTTATATCTTTTATAATGAATTGTGATTACTCACCCTTTTTATTTGAATGTTGCCTCCACGTGAGTAATGCGCAAATACTCAAAAGTAGCTTGTTGAAGTATCGAGGATAGAGCTTTGGAGTATTTTATTAGTTTTCATTTATTAGAGGTGTCTTGCTCTGATATTTAACATCAGCTTGGGAACACTTTGTGTTGCGAATGTTATGTTCTTTTATGTTGGTACTGGATGACAATTTTGATTGTTAATCTGGTTTTAATAATTGATGAGACCAACGTTATGAATTTTTAGAAGTTAGGTATGATATTATATGATGATGAATTCTACTGTGATGTTTTTAAATCATGTGTTGAAGTATGATCAGATGTATGTGTTAAATTGTTGTAACCCGTGTTACGGAGCAGGATTGTTATTATGATGTTTTCTATGAAGTGTGACACCCTTGTAGTTGATTTATTTTGTAAATTATATGAGAAGTACATGTGAGGTTAGAAGGGTGTTACATTAGTGGTATCAGAGCAGGCCGGTCTGTTCTGACAGGTTTTATACGTTGTTTATGTCTTGGTGGTCGATTTGTGTATAAAACATAATCGATGTTTAGTTCCTCTAGTGATGTTTGCCATATGCATAGAGAGATGGCTGAAGGTAGAAATGATGATGCAATTGTTGGAGCTTTGAAGTCATTGGCTCATGCAATGGCCCAGAATCAGCAAAATCCCCAAAATGCTGGAGGGATTGATGAGTTCCGAGCTTTAGAAATGTTTCAGCAAAACAACCCATCAATCTTTAAGGGAACACATGATTCTGATGGTGCACAAGTGTGGCTCAGAAAGATCAAGAAGATCTTCATAATGGTAGCTTGCTTAGAGGATCAGAAGGTGCAGTTTTGGTACCCACGTGTTGGGAGTAGAGGCTGAAGACTGGTGGGGTAACGCACGTAAGAGGATGGTGATTTTGGGTGTTGGGATCACTTGGGCTGTTTTCAGAGCTGCATTTTTGGAGAAGTACTTTCCTAAAGATGTGCGTGGCAAGAAGGATATTGAATTCCTTGAGCTAAAACAAGGGAATTCGACTGCTGCTGAGTATGCTACCAGATTTGAAGAGTTGGTGAAGTTATGTCTGCATTATAATAATCCACCCACTGAGGCATCTAAGTGTATCAAATTTGAGAATGGGTTGTATCCAGAGATTAAGCAGGGAATTGGATATTAGGAGATTCACCATTTTCCTATACTAGTGAATAAGTGTAGGATTTATGATCAGGATACCAGAGCCAAATCTTCTTTTTATAAGAGTTATAATGAGAAGAAAGGGAAGAACCAGGATCATGGTAAGCCGTATAATGCTCATGCTGACAAAGTGAAGCTGAAAGTTTATGATGAAAAGAAGCAAAGTGAGGAAGGAGCTCCCGCTTTGGCCAAGTGCTTTAGGTGTGGCGAGCAAGGTCATTATGCTGATAGTTGCGACAATAAGGTGATGAGATATTATAAATGTGGTAAGACAAGTCAACATGATTCTGAGTTCAAGAATGACGATCTGACTCGTTTCAACATTTGTGAACAGGATTACATTAGTACCCATTGTTAGAAGCTGAAGAATATTATTGTTGCAGCTCAGACTAATGGCAGAGTGTTTGCTTTGAGTGGTTTAGAGGTTCCCAAGAAGGATAATATGATTCGAGGTACTTTCTTTATTAACAATGTTGAGTTGATTTTCATTATTGATATTGGTGCTACACATTTATTAATTTTGCTTGAATGTGCCACGATGTTGGGATTGAAATTGTCTTCTATGAAGGGTAGTATAGTGATAGACATTCCTATTAAGGGTTATGTTACTACTACTTTTGTATGTTCGAGTTGTCCTTTAACTATCTTTGTGTTGTACCCTAAAATTTTCCCTCTCATTTTACTCAAAACATACTCCTAGGGTTTTCAAATGTTCAAGGTGGCTCAAGAACTGATCAGACTAATTCTCTTCCTAAGAAATGAACTTCCAACTAGAGTTTCACTTTTCACAATTAAGTTTGAGTTTAAAAATCCTCTAGTGGTTTCCATGGTTTCTTACATGTCCTCAAGAATGCTCATACCAAGTTTTATGCCTTGCATCACAAGTTTGCTCAGTCAATTGATCAGATGATTGAAAATCAACTATATTAGGTCAAAAGTCAACTATGGTCAACATACAATCAAACTTTAATATTTTTGGTTAACATCAATATTTTGAAGTGATATTTATAATTTGACAAGGGTTGATCATGATTCCTCAAGGAGAGCTCTCAAATCATCAAAAGTCAAAAGTTGCTAAATTAGGGTTTCCTTAGGAGAAGTCAACTAAAATTTGACCAGGCATAACTTTCACATGCTTCATCAATTTTGCCCCAACCAAAGCTCATTTTTAATAGAACCCAATCCTCTAAAGCTTTGTTTTTATTCCCAAGTCCAAAAAATGCATCATTGGAAAGATATGAGCCAATACATTACAGGTCTTTTTAAAAAGTCAACAAAAAAGCACTTTTTGTCAAGGCAATTTACATCAAGATAAAGTCCTAAAATGCAAAAATAATAAAAATAGAAGTTGTAGAGGACACCTTTAGGTTTCTAAAAAGTCTAATATTATCCTGGAAAGATGAAAATTGAGCAAGTTATGGTTTTCACAAGTTGGAAAAAATTGTGAAAATGCATGAAGTCAACTTTGAGCAAAAGTGCATCTTTGAGTTAATGGACCTATTTTTTAGGGTTCATACATGTTTATGACATACACAAGGACCTCTAAACATATCCAAAACAAAGTGCGAGATGGGGGTGCAAGGCGTGCAAGCTATTGTTTCCATCAAGATTCAGGCCCAAGAATCTCATAAGTAGCTGTCAAAAACGTGCAAAAATAGACTGGAACATGGTTGAAGCAAAAATGGCAACTTTTGATACAAATTGCAAATCCCATATTTTGTCATAAACCACAAGGATTTTGTACAGGTTTTGTTAACCTAATTTATACCATATATAAGCACAAGTGATAAGACCATAAGGGTACACGCAGTCTGCCTCAAAAGAATGCAAAAGTTTCTCCAAAAATTTTCAAAACTAAGGCAGACGTAAACCCTATTCTCTAGTCTTCATCCATTAGTTTCAAACGTTCAATCATACTCCTGAGGCCTCCGGGAATTATTCCCAGCCATCACTCAGGCTTGAAGCACATCAGAATTCACCAAGTCAACTCACCGGTTTTTGGTAAAATTTTAAAATCCAAACTCTCAATTTATACGTTGTTGAATGCTTTGACATGTGCGCATGTGTTCATGTGCATCCTTAGAACAGGTGTGATGCATAGTTTTCAAGCTTGAACGTCTAAATAAGGATCCACCATTTTTAAGATGTGTTGCTTTGTTTTGACCATATCTCGTTGTACAAGTTGTGTTAGCCAAAAAACAGATCACCATTGAACTCACAATGGTTAATTTAGGAGGATATGCCCCTTCTTTCATATTGATTCTGCTTCTTGTGCAGGTTTTGAAATTTAGGGCTGCCAGAGAAGGCGACCGGAGCTAGGGCTCTGGCGCTTCTCCGGTTAGTCAAGGTTTTTAGGCTTGTATTGACTGTTGGAGTGCCACTGAGAAGGCTTCTAATTGGTTCATTCATAATAATAGGTACCCACCTGAATTTATTTTGTTTGAATTAAAAAAACTAAAACTTGTTTTATTATTTAATCAATTGATTGCGTTTATGCTACCGGATGTATGGTCGTCCCAACGGTTGAGACAACACACTTAAGGCTTTATGTGTATGCAAAGGCAGGGGTTCAATCCCTGCCTCTTGTATATTATTTTTCTGAATTATTCTTGCGGATCCAGTGTTCCAGGGGCAAGCGCACATACCATGTGTCATCAGATCATCACCATTGGATCATCACAATATAAGATACAGCGCTCCAGATTTGAGCGCTCATGATAGACCCTCAGAGACTAGCTGCACTGAATCACATGTTGGTTATGGATTTGTGTGTTATGGGCCTGGACAATTTTCAATGTGCACTCCCCAAACTGCTTCACAACATCAGGCTCAAATTCTAATTTCTTTACTCTTTTTATTTTATTTTATTTCCTTGTTTCGTGTTTTTTTTTAAAAACCAATTCTATTTTAATCATAAAATCGGAAAAATCACAAAATGATAGA